AGTAAAAGAATTTTTAAAAGAATGTGTTCGAAAGAAAACAATAGAGAATAAACATATACAAAAAGTGAAAGTTTGAAATGAGTTAATGAAATAACAAATGATCTGTTTATATTTAAATATTTTATAAAATTTATATTGCATAAAACTAAATACATATGAAAATAATGCGAGAGTTAATTAAATAACTATCTTCAAAATCTTGAAATTTTTAAATAATTATTTATTTTCCATGTAATTATTGTAATTACTTATTAATTTTGTTTTTATGATTTTATTTTTAAACTCACATATACGATAAAATTAAATAAATTCTACTGGGGGATTTTTTGTTTATTTCCGTTAATTATTTATATGTGCATACTTTGAAAATAAATATAACAAAAAAAAAAATGTACAACAAAAGAAAAACATTGTAAAAAAAAAACTAAAACAAATACTTTGATGTTCTTCTTCGGATGACGTCATTATAGTGAATGATTTGACAATTTTGTTATATGATAAAATAGCATTATACTTATAATTTTAATATTATGGACTTTCTTTTACTATTTTAAAAAATATATAAATTTTATTTAAATTTGTTTAAGAAAAAGTGAAATTTTGATTTAAATAAAAAACAAGTTGTCGTAGATGTGAATGACCTGAAGAAAATCATGCTTTTTGTAAAATTGTTTGTGTTTTATGAAAATTTCAAATAACATGAATGAAAATACAACAACAACCTGTTGAATTGAATAAGATATAGAACCTTGACATATAGTTTAGAATGTAAGCGAATTATTTTTTTAATTGTAGCTGTTTAGCTGTTTGTTTTAACCCAACAAAACTTTTATTAACCGAATAAAAAGGTGCAATTATTAGAGGGGATCGGCGAATGTTATTAACAAGTTTTTGAATTATCTAAATATTTTATAAAATATTAAAGAAATGTGTCCCAGCAAATTTTAGAACTTGTTCTAAATTAAGAACACACTTAGATTCTTTAACAGCAACCTAAAATATTGTGATGCCTTAATCAAAAATTACCCTAAACTAGTTACAGAACAGTTCTATAGAACTAGGAGGCAATTTCAAAGAAAAATTATTGATCTCAATGCCAAAATAGAACAAGTGGAACTAATACTATCTTTAATGAGGTATTACTACATCAAAGGCTTAAAAAAAGTGAAATTAAAATTTAGATATTTGTGTTGTAAACTTAAGGGAATAGGTCTTGACAAGTTGTAACTTGTTATACTTCTCAATATTTGAGAAAAAAATATAAGTCCGTCAAGCATCAAAATTTTCGGAAAAATAACATGTCGAAACTATCTTTAATAGATTTGGAAACAAGGAATCATTAACCGAGGGATTTCTTTCTGGGTTTTGAAGTCATGGTTTCACATTTACAAGCACCAACCCAGCAAAAACTTACATACATTGAAAAGTATTTAATTACACGTCAAATACTATAGTTTTCACATACAATTACAATTTAGTTTTCTATTTGTGTAAAAAAACAGTTGTTAACATAAGTATCTAATAAATAGTAAGTTATTACTAAACTCCTAATAAATAATGCAGAACGTATGTAGTTGATATTGAAAAGTAAGTTGTTGAATAAGTGCAAGTCATTATCATGTTTTTGCGGGGATTATATGAAAATTCTTTAAGACGTATTCTATAAACGTACGAAAATTTTTAAACAAATATTGATATTTTAAATGCAAAATCCATTTCATTACCTTAAAAAAACAACAAAATTCAGATAAATGTTTGCAAAATATTGTGAAATTGTATTATTTCATTGTTTTTAAAAAATAAAACAAAGTATGATTTTGGAGCAATTTGTTTTTATATTAAAACCGAGCAGTTCAAAGAAGTTTGGTACAGATTTTGGTTCATAACAAAAGTTGTTTATGAAAAATTTCATCACTCTTCTTCACAGTTATTAACGTTACATGAACTGCAAAAATGTAAATGAACTTTTCTAGCGATAAGCTCTCTAAATACTCTTAAGTTCTTCTACCCATTCAGACGGACATGGCTAGATCATCTTAGAATCGAATAAGGACCAATAATACATATAATTTTAAGTCTACGATCAATATTTTGATGTGTTACAAATGGAATGACAAAATCGATATATCCCTCATATTTTTGATGGTATGTATGCCTACCAAAATAGAAAATTAAAAAGTTAATGGATAATATAAAAGAACAATTATTTTAGAACATTATATATTACTTAATTTAGAACTTTATATTTACGGGTAATGTTTAAAATAAAAACTTTTATTGCAAAAATGTTTTACAATCAATTTTAATATTTTAAATCCGCCAATTAAATCTCCTGTTTTTTAAGAATATTTTTAAAAGAATTCTTTGAAATTATTTAATAAAGTTGTTTAACTCTGAACACATAAGCAAAAAATTCCCATTATTCTATAATGACGCTATTTCACCTCATCAAATTTATATTAAAATATTTGATTAATCCTAGCTTAATAATTGCTTTATATTTCATTTAATACAATTTTTCTAATATTCCAAGCGTTAATATTTGTTTAATTTTTAAAATATATTTTGTAGAACGCGAGTGCATTCCAATAAATTTTACTCTTTTTGATTTTGTTTACTCCAAAGAGGGCAAAAATTAAGATTATTTAACAATGACTTAACAATTTTATAGCGTTAACTTATACGTTTCGTGAGATTTAAAACAAAGTATTTAATCTAAAATTGAGAGAATCGAGTGCACTAGTAATTTGTTTATCTTTATTCATGCCAAAATGATAACAATTCACACAGTTGGCATGATATTAGATTTATTTACAAAAGTCTCTTTTGCACTTAGTCAAACGTTAAGAGAGAAACACATTTAAGATGATACCCTACACTATAAGACCAGTAATATATGTATAAGTTAACTATATAAATACCGTAAATCCATATTCCCACTTTAGATATGAAGAACTAGATAGACTAGACTATAGACTAGACTATAGATTAGACTATAGACTAGACTATAGACTAGACTATAGACTAGACTAGACGATAGACTAGGCTAGACTAGACTACACTATAGACTAGACTAGACTATAGACTAGACTAGACTATAGACTAGACTAGACTATAGACTAGACTAGACTATAGACTAGACTATAGACTAGACTATAGACTAGACTATAGACTAGACTATAGACTAGACTATAGACTAGACTATAGACTAGACTATAGACTAGACTATAGACTAGACTATAGACTAGACTATAGACTAGACTATACTAGACTAGACTATAGGCTAGACTATAGGCTAGACTATAGCTAGACTATAGGCTAGACTATAGGCTAGACTATAGACTAGACTATAGGCTAGACTATAGACTAGACTATAGACTAGGCTATAGGCTAGACTATAGACTAGACTATAGGCTAGACTATAGACTAGACTATAGACTAGACTATAGACTAGACTATAGACTAGACTATAGACTACACTATAAACTAGACTATAGACTAGACTATAGACTAGACTATAGACTAGACTATAGACTAGACTATAGACTAGACTATAGACTAGACTATAGACTAGACTATAGACTAGACTATAGACTAGACTATAGACTAGACTATAGACTAGACTATAGACTAGACTACAGACTAGACTATAGGAGACGAACTCTGAGAGTTAAGGAAGTTCAGTGACAATGCTGACCACCCCGCGAAGTTGTACCTGGTGGCACTTTCGCGGAGTGTGGTGTTGACGATGAAGGTGGTTTTAGTCGGTAGGAGTCCTACATACCCTTTATGGGACCAAACGAACGAACGAAGGAAAGGAACGAAGAACGAGCGAAACGAACCAACGAACGAAACGAACGAACGAACGAACGAACGAACGAACGAACGAACGAACGAACGAACGAACGAACGAACGAACGAACGAACGAACGAACACGAAGAACGAACGAAACGAACGAACGAAAACGAACGAAGGAACGAACGAAGGAACGAACGAACGAACGAACGAACGAACGAACGAACGAACGAACGAACGAACGAACGAACGAACGAACAAAACGAACTAACTAACTAACTAACGAACTAAAAACTAAAAACTAAAAGAACGAAAACTAATTAACTAATTAACGAAGAATAAAACTAATTAACTAACTAACTAACTAACTAACTAACTAACGAACTAACTAACTAACTAACTAACTAACGAATAACTAAAACTAACTAACTAACTAAACTAACTAACTAACGAACTAACAACTAACTAACTAACTAACGAACTAACTAACTAACTAACTACTAACTAACTAACTAATAACTAACTAACTAACTAACTAACTAACTACTAACTAACTAACTAACTAACTAACTAACTACTAACTAACTAACTAACTAACTAACTACTAACTAACTAACTACTAACTAACTACTAACTAACTAACTAACTAACTAACTAACTAACTAACGAACTAACTAACTACTAACTAACTAACTATTAACTAACTAACTAACTACTAACTAACTACTAACTACTAACTAACTAACTAAGAACTAGCTAACTAACCTAACTAACTAACGAGTTAACTAATTACATAAAAAACTCAATTATTTACATAATTTCTAAAGGATTTAACCTCATACAAACATTTGAATTATTTCTGCTGGCTTTGTGATCAATCAATTCCCCCTTTTTAATTTAAAAACTGATCACGCTATACATAACAAACATTATTGTAATAATTATAGGGTAGCCAAAGATCTGTTAGATTTAAAAAAAAAACTTAATTTTAAATAATTTCATAATATCATTAAAACGTTTTTAGTGGAGAGAAAATAAATGCTCATACTGGTTCAAAAGAGAAAAACAAATTCAATAGATAATTAAGAACAAAAAACTGAACATATCAATGTTATTTATTATTTGGTGTTAGTGTTTTTTTGTTTAAACAATTTTTTGTTAAAATTTCAATACAAAATGTAAAAACATTGTAGACACAGAATTCAGTTAATGCGCGGAGCTCAAGCGCGTCGGTTTAGTGGAAAACTCTCGGTGGTAATTTAAAACGAAACGAAAACGTTAAAAGTGTAAAAGTAATAAAATAGTGGTGAAATAACAAATGTTATAAAAGATACTTTTTTATATAAAAGATAGAGGTAATTAAAGCAAATTAGCCGGTTTTTTTTTAAGTAAAAGAATTTTTAAAAGAATGTGTTCGAAAGAAAACAATAGAGAATAAACATATACAAAAAGTGAAAGTTTGAAATGAGTTAATGAAATAACAAATGATCTGTTTATATTTAAATATTTTATAAAATTTATATTGCATAAAACTAAATACATATGAAAATAATGCGAGAGTTAATTAAATAACTATCTTCAAAATCTTGAAATTTTTAAATAATTATTTATTTTCCATGTAATTATTGTAATTACTTATTAATTTTGTTTTTATGATTTTATTTTTAAACTCACATATACGATAAAATTAAATAAATTCTACTGGGGGATTTTTTGTTTATTTCCGTTTAATTATTTATATGTGCATACTTTGAAAATAAATATAACAAAAAAAAAAATGTACAACAAAAGAAAAACATTGTAAAAAAAAAAACTAAAACAAATACTTTGATGTTCTTCTTCGGATGACGTCATTATAGTGAATGATTTGACAATTTTGTTATATGATAAAATAGCATTTATACTTATAATTTTAATATTATGGACTTTCTTTTACTATTTTAAAAAATATATAAATTTTATTTAAATTTGTTTAAGAAAAAGTGAAATTTTGATTTAAATAAAAAACAAGTTGTCGTAGATGTGAATGACCTGAAGAAAATCATGCTTTTTGTAAAATTGTTTGTGTTTTATGAAAATTTCAAATAAACATGAATGAAAATACAACAACAACCTGTTGAATTGAATAAGATATAGAACCTTGACATATAGTTTAGAATGTAAGCGAATTATTTTTTTAATTGTAGCTGTTTAGCTGTTTGTTTTAACCCAACAAAACTTTTATTAACCGAATAAAAAGGTGCAATTATTAGAGGGGATCGGCGAATGTTATTAACAAGTTTTTGAATTATCTAAATATTTTATAAAATATTAAAAGAAATGTGTCCCAGCAAATTTTAGAACTTGTTCTAAATTAAGAACACACTTAGATTCTTTAACAGCAACCTAAAATATTGTGATGCCTTAATCAAAAATTACCCTAAACTAGTTACAGAACAGTTCTATAGAACTAGGAGGCAATTTCAAAGAAAAATTATTGATCTCAATGCCAAAATAGAACAAGTGGAACTAATACTATCTTTAATGAGGTATTACTACATCAAAGGCTTAAAAAAAGTGAAATTAAAATTTAGATATTTGTGTTGTAAACTTAAGGGAATAGGTCTTGACAAGTTGTAACTTGTTATACTTCTCAATATTTGAGAAAAAAATATAAGTCCGTCAAGCATCAAAATTTTCGGAAAAATAACATGTCGAAACTATCTTTAATAGATTTGGAAACAAGGAATCATTAACCGAGGGATTTCTTTCTGGGTTTTGAAGTCATGGTTTCACATTTACAAGCACCAACCCAGCAAAAACTTACATACATTGAAAAGTATTTAATTACACGTCAAATACTATAGTTTTCACATACAATTACAATTTAGTTTTCTATTTGTGTAAAAAACAGTTGTTAACATAAGTATCTAATAAATAGTAAGTTATTACTAAACTCCTAATAAATAATGCAGAACGTATGTAGTTGATATTGAAAAGTAAGTTGTTGAATAAGTGCAAGTCATTATCATGTTTTTGCGGGGATTATATGAAAATTCTTTAAGACGTATTCTATAAACGTACGAAAATTTTTTAAACAAATATTGATATTTTAAATGCAAAATCCATTTCATTACCTTAAAAAAACAACAAAATTCAGATAAATGTTTGCAAAATATTGTGAAATTGTATTATTTCATTGTTTTTAAAAAATAAAACAAAGTATGATTTTGGAGCAATTTGTTTTATATTAAAACCGAGCAGTTCAAAGAAGTTTGGTACAGATTTTGGTTCATAACAAAAGTTGTTTATGAAAAATTTCATCACTCTTCTTCACAGTTATTAACGTTACATGAACTGCAAAAATGTAAATGAACTTTTCTAGCGATAAGCTCTCTAAATACTCTTAAGTTCTTCTACCCATTCAGACGGACATGGCTAGATCATCTTAGAATCGAATAAGGACCAATAATACATATAATTTTAAGTCTACGATCAATATTTTGATGTGTTACAAATGGAATGACAAAATCGATATATCCCTCATATTTTTGATGGTATGTATGCCTACCAAAATAGAAAATTAAAAAGTTAATGGATAATATAAAAGAACAATTATTTTAGAACATTATATATTACTTAATTTAGAACTTTATATTTACGGGTAATGTTTAAAATAAAAACTTTTATTGCAAAAATGTTTTTACAATCAATTTTAATATTTTAAATCCGCCAATTAAATCTCCTGTTTTTTAAGAATATTTTTAAAAGAATTCTTTGAAATTATTTAATAAAGTTGTTTAACTCTGAACACATAAGCAAAAAATTCCCATTATTCTATTTATAAATAGGAAAATATCTACTGTTCATATGATTTCCTTAAAAATAATTCTAAAATGACGACTTCAAAAAACGTAAAGCTAATTTCCATGCTGTTTTCAATCACGATCACGAAGTTTTCAAAGAGTTTTAGTTTATGACCATTTTTAATTGAAAAAAAAAATTCTAAGGAAATTCCGATAAAAAGTAAGTAAACATTCAATGACGTCTTTTTAAAGCAAGAAACCATTAGTTAATCAGTCAACTATGACGATTTGCTGGGATTTCAGTAGATTCTTTTGTTAATAATTGAAGTGCATTGGCAGTGGATTTATATTTTAAAGTTTATTTTTAATTTCAAGTTTATAAAACAAATATAAAATAGTTAATGCTTTGTCATGTTAAAAAAGGGTATTTTAGTAGTAGATTTTTGTGATAAAATAAATAAAATGCATAAATGTGAGGAGATATATTTCTATCTATCTATCTATCTATCTATCTATCTATCTATCTATCTATCTATCTATCTATTTATCAATCTATCTATCTATCTATCTATCTATCTATCTATCTATCTATCTATCTATCTATCTATCTATCTATCTATCTATCTATCTATCTATCTATCTATCTATCTATCTATCTATCTATCTATCTATCTATCTATCTATCTATCTATCTATCTATCTATCTATCTATCTATCTATCTATCTATCTATCTATCTATCTATCTATCTATCTATCATAACATTTTACTCTAAACCTAACTAACGAGCATAAAAGTACGAAAAGGTCCAGAGTTGACAAACAAATTTAACGTCAAGATAAAAGTTTTAATTTTATTAGTTTGGTTTTTGCATCTTCTATAATATTCCTATTAAATCTCACATGTACCTACATATATCACTAAATAAATATTTAACTGAACTTATGACGTTTATTTTTTATTTTTATACCTGAGAATCCATAAAAACATAAATTAAAGCTCTTTAACCGAAAAGTTTAAAAAGTCATAAAAATTTGCTTAATCATTTTTGGGGCGAAACATTTAACACGTTGAAAAGAAACTGAAATATAAATTTCACAACTAGACAAGAAAACAAAATATATATATTAAAGATTAAATATTGTATATAGTACTCTTCACAAGTGTGCCATCTACTATCTCAAAAATATAGAAATGTATAACAACAATGCGAATATGTTCATTATCATAAAAATTGGCTATAAATACCCTACAGCTGGGCAGATGGGAGCTTTGTGCTTTGTTACTGAAGTAAAAATAAATATAGAAAGCTTTTTTTGTGAAACATTGAAATTTAGATCGTACTTAGTTAGCATGGGTTTATAATAATGGTGTAATGGTTACCTGGACACTGCAATGTACAGTGTAACGAGGTGGCAAAAGAACTAGCAAGGCAGGGTTTGAATCTATGTAGGGGAGACAAGATGGTGAAGCCACCCATTATTAAAGGATGACCTCGGAAAGATTCCCTGGGTCCTTTTATAATCCAAAACGATCAAGCTAAGTCCGTCCGTCTGTATGTTGAAAATTGGCAAAATTGGTTCAAATTTCACCCTAGCACCTATATAAAATCCTATTCAATCTAATAACTTGATATATTCAATAAAATTCTCGAGACGATATATGACAATATCTTTAGGGTCTGTATTGCAAGTTTGGCATAATTTAAGTCAAAAATTAAACCTTTAACATTATTTAAAGTTTCCAGAGAAGAATTTCTGTAACAAATTTTCAAACTAAAGTTGTTAAACTCTTCGCAAATCGTTATTTTGCAAAAACGTTTTCAAAAATTTTCTCGGACCTCTTGTAGAGCTTTGCCTCTGTGTGGTTTTGACCTTCACATACTTCAATTTATACATATATATTGTTATTAATAACTGAGATTACTACTCTCAACTGAAATGGTATTTCAGCTACAAAATAGAATTTTATGTCATTTAATAAAATAATAATTAACTAACTCTTCTGTGTGATAACAACACATTTCGCAGTTTATTTGTTAAGTAGTCATTAAATATTAAAAAAAAAAAACAAATTCTAACAATGAAATGTTTATTTCTTTATTAGAGAATCAAGCAGCAACAAGTGTGATAAGATTTTAGGAATAATATTACAAAGAAATATTAAAATGAAAATATAGAAATAAAATAAATACGGAAAATGCTGAAACATTTTTTAGAAAACAAAAAAACAAAAACAAATTGTAAACAAAAATAGAGTGCAATTATACACATAGCGAAAAAGGCGGCAGAAAAATTAACGTAATTGATGATGCGTTTTAAAGAGCCAAAAGTGATATTACGGCGTGGTTATTTTGACAATGTATTGTTGTTAGTTTAACAACGTATCGTTCTTATTTTGTCAATGATTGTTATTATTTTGTAATAACATTGTTACAAAATAATCCATTGCAAACCTCATTAAAAGAAAAATATCTTGTTATATTGTTTATTAATTTATGTTTTATTAAATTAACTTAATATTATACATATTTATGGAATATAAATAAAATGTAAGGTAGAATCTAAAAGCCAATTTCATATAACTGAAAAATGTCATATTTATAATAATTAGTTTAATGTTTTCCATTTACAGTCAAATAAAATAATTCTTTAAAACGTGGAGTTTTCTTAACATTAACTATCTTAGCAATCTTAAAATTTACTTAATTTAATGTAAAAATACTGTGAAAATATTCCTTTCTAATAATTTTAGAAGAATTTATTAAAATTGTGGGGTCTTTTGAAATTTTTTCTTTAATTTTCAATTACTATTATTTAGAAAACTCATGAGAGAAGTTAAATTGACAGTTTTGACATCAAATTGTCTTTCTATATTATAAAAATACGTTTGTATAAATAACCATGGTTCTAGGCAAGCTTTAGGATATCTTAATGAAAGTATGTGAAAAATTTTAAAACAAGTATCCAAACACTTAATAAATGTATTAAACTTAAGCAAATTATTATTGAAATATACATAGAAACTATTTATATGGGTGTCGCTTATACCTTCTACAATGATAAATGGTTGTATGGTTAAGTCTGCCGAATAATATTTGCTTATTACAGCATCGATTTGTTGTTTATAGTCATTTATGGATGTTAGTCGCAAAACCAGACTTTCTTTGGAGTCGGCTATTGTTACACGTTTAACACATTTTCCATTTTGATTTTTAAATCTAGCTCCTGAAGGTAGAACTGCATTCAGCAGTATAGTATAGATAAAATCTTGAGTATCTGTAGGTAAAAGTAAAGAAATAGTTATTGTTCCTAAGTGTTTGCTTATGCATAATACCTGTACTTGTGGTTGGGGTTATACTAGCTAGTAATTGCTTACAGGACTCATTGTGTATAGAACTGTTGTAATAACTTAAAATTTTTTGTTTAAATAATTGCCATTTCGAAATAAGTAAATTTCCTTTACCAGGATGCATTATATCAAAATCTATATTTATCTAGAAGTTGTAAAAGAGTTAACATTAACGAATTTACAGGGTAATATTAAAAAATCCGAAAAAATATTACCAATTCTGGTACACGACAATCAGATAATTTAGACCAGCTTTTTAGAAATTCATCACTCGTTAAGTTTTTCAATTCCTTTTGTCGTATATTATACGTTTGTTTCCACTTGCAACAGACATCTTTCCAATCTAAATTGTCGCTGTTAAGTGAGATTTTTAATGCCATAGAAACAGATTCATTAAAATCTGTCTTTTCAGTGTCAGGACTGGAGCACTCAGTGGAAACCATTAGTTTTCTTTTTTTTGCCAATTTATTTCTGTATTTGCTATACATCTTTCCACCGGCATTATTTTTTTGACTTCTTGGTATGTAATAGTATTCCTAAAAGAATATTATTTATTTTATGATTTCCTTTTTTCTTATTTATTTCATACCCTCATATTATTTTCAAACGGAAACAGCGTGCAAATCTCCGTTGTTAATCGTACAAAATCATAAGCATAAAGTACTACTTTGTTTGTGATAGCGTCTTCAATTATTATACTTATAATATCATCCCTTTGCTGAGTATTAAATTTTTGATTTTTAGCTGCATATTCAATTACTGCTTTTCCTTTTGTGGATTCACTTAATAAGCTTTTTAAATCCTGTAATATTTCATATGGTTTTATATGAAAAGGTTAATCCATACTGCTAACTACTACTGTACCTTTTTTAAAGCGGTGCTATTGGTAAAACTGGTAGATGCTTCATTTTGGTTCAGCCATGTCTGCACTCTAGATGGTCCTGAAGAAGTTTCATCATCATATCCACACTAAAAATAAATATTTAAAATTTAACTAAAAAAAAATATATATTTTTGTATAACCTGTTCATTTTTCCAGGCAAATAACTTTTCTCGAAATTCTGCACGAAGTCCTAAGGGTGGCAAAGCTTCTTTTAGATCATCTTTATCTAAATAGGGTAGACTTCTGTAGGTAATATTGGCAGCTTGAATAAAAAATTGAAAATATTAAGATTTATTAATATTTTTTTGGCGTTTTTCTATTTAGTACTTACCTTTTAAAGTATCAAAAATATTCTCCATATTTATGGTTTTAAGGAATAATTTTAGGTTCATATCATCACTATTAAGCATTGGAATTTCCGACATGAATTCTCCAGTATTTAGGCATTCTTCACTTATATATATATATCATCAATTTCTAAAATATTTATAATATTTTTGTTCAATACACAGCTGTTAAGTAATGATTAGTAATCATAATCATTAGTAAATAGATAATTTATTTGTATTTTATAGTTAAGGTAATTGATTAAATACGTTTATTTTTTAATTCTTATTTTTAGTAATTGATTACGATTATGAAGCATTTAAATACAATCAAAATTACTTTAAGTTAGAGATGGATTTCGATTTAAATATTATTAAATTTTAGGACAATTTCTCTACTAAATTTATGGAAAATAAACCAAATTAATACTTAAAAGTAATTGGATTCTGTTTTGTTTACATTTGATTCTTTTTGAATAATTTTCAGTAATTTCAAATAATCCCTATTACTTTTATATTACATTATAATCATAATCAATTACCAATCAGATATTGTGTACCAGAGCATTATGTAATCATTACGATACTTTTTAAAAAAATAAACTTATTGATTACTAATCATAATTGGAATTTAACAGCTATGATTCAATTATAAATACAAGAAAACATACTCACAAATCTAAAGAAGAACAAGTAAGAAAGTATAGTCGGGCGTGACCGCCCATATGATACCCTCCACCAGTTATGAATATTAAATGTGATTTATTTTTTATAATAAAGCATTAATCTTCTATTATCTTGTTCCGATACATTTAAGTAATTTATGGATGAAAAACAAATTTTCTGAAAGCGGTTTATATACGGGCTAGGGGCAAATATGGACCAAGTCCGATAACATTTTTGAGAATATATTTATATATTTATTTGTGCTGAATTTCATCGCGATATTTGTGTTTATAAGTTAATTTTGGACATTCAAGTAATTTTCTGAAGGGGACTTTGTATGGGAGCTAGGGTCAAAAAGAGGCCCGATCTTTATGAAATTTGGCTAGGTCATCAAGACTTGTATAAAACACAGTTGTGCCGCTTTTTATCGATATAAAGGAATATTTAACATAATTATGAAGTCAGAAGCCCTTTCGGGGTTTCTGTTGTATGGGGGCTAAGTGAAATAATGGATCGATTTTAATCATTCTCAATAGACTTCGTCCTTGGCGTGTACGCCAAATTTCATCCAAATATCTTGAAAATTACGACTTGTACCTTGCGCACAAGGTTTACATGGACAGCCAGACGGACGGACGCACATAGCTTAATCGTCTCAGAAAACGATTGTAAGCCGATTGGTATACTTTAAGGTGGATATTTTTGTATGTTACAAACATCAGCAAAAACCCAATATACCCTCCCCAATAAAGTGGTGTAAGGTATAACAATCGAACAATAAAAAAACGATTTTAATTTATCTACGATTTGTTATTGATTTAAGAACGGCTGTTATCGAAAAATTATGATCGTTATGTTTTCAATTTAACATCATACATTCATAATTTCAGAACAACTTTTTACCCAATATCATCATCAATATCAGAATCTTTCAACATAGAGCCCTCCTAAGCAAATACGTAAGGAAGACTGTTACCGAGAACGTCACCATGTTATTTCACTTATACGAATTTTATGGTCGAATGTCTCGCCATTGTATTTAGAGACGACCGGATCAGTTTAGATATGGTTAACTCAACGATCAAGGACAAATAACCAGTTCTATTTTAAAGCAACTTAATAAGGAATAACTATACGTCTTGTGTGGATACCAAAACACATATCTGAATTTCATTCAAATGATGGACACCGATTCTAGTCTAGGCCACAAGGTCTTGTCGATCGTGCAAGTATTATAGCAAATAAGAAGAAAGGGAAACTGCTCAGACAGTATCAATATCAGCATCTTTCAACATAGAACACTCCTAAGCAAGTACGTAAGAAAAACGGTTACCGAGAACGTCACCATGTTATTTCACTTAATAGACTCCTTACTATTTGTAAATATTAAAATCTTGCTAACGAAACTAAATCACAGCCCGTTTTATCACAGATATCACAGCTTGAAGAATGCTATATTCACAATTGAGTCTGAATCTGAATATGTACTCCTCAATGAAAATGTCACCAGCTACTCTTTCAGATACTTTGAATCCATATGTACTAGATACTCTTACTTGTAGTAATAAGTGACCGAAAAGCTATTTAAAATGTAGATTTTGGAGTACAATAGTTAATACATTGGTACGGAGGTCATGAGGTTGAGAGCACAACAGGCCAACATAGATCCTTCTTTCAAACTAGCTAAACAACTAACTAATTTTATAAAAGAGGTTAGAAAGAACACTTTAGATCCTAGAATAACTCTTTTAACTAAGACTAGATGCTATGACCCTTGCTAACTTCTCGGCGCCTAGT